AGCATTATAGATAATTTCTCTTTATTTTTAGTGGTTTCAAAGTTATTAACAAATGAGGACTGAGAAATGGTATCTTCCAGCTTTTCTAGCTAGTTAATTTCTTGGTTTTACATTTTTCCCAGTTACATCTTGTTTTTCCCCCTCTACTTGTACATGTTTTGCTGGGTTCAGTCCTGTGAAAACAGCTGTTTTCCACCTTTCTATTGCCCTCAAGTCAGGGCAGTGCTGGGAAGTACTGCCTACTGTACCACAGAACCTTTGGTGCTGATGGAATGGTCTAGAATCACATGCTTGGAACCCACTTGCCATGTTGCTCGTGAATCTTGAGCACATAGGTAGGCAGTTGAGGCTTTAAATCTATCACTTAATATTAATCAACTAAAAGTCCAACAGCCCGTGAAGCTAATGGCCACCGTGATGGACAGAGCAGCTTTGAAAAATTCTAGGCTGTTTACTTCCTGTGACTTTCACAAAAGCTAAACAAGATTATTGATGTAAGTGCCGTGGTATGATAAAAGGCTTTTAAGTCCAAGAATAAGTCATTAACTTAATCACAAATAGTTAAAGAAAAGGACCCAGGACAGTTTTTTCCTTAAAATTAATGTAACTGGGCCCATGAGATGGCTCAGCTGGTAAAGTTCTTGCTACCAAACCCAACAACCTGAGTCTCGTCCAGGGGCTCACTTGGTGGGAGGAGAGAACTGACCCCCCAAGTGTTATCCTCTGATCTCTGCATATAGACCATGGTGTGTATACTCCTGTCATACATATGAATAAATAGATAAATGTAATTAAAGTTTGAATTTAGGACAGCCGCAAGTTATTTTCCCTTTAATATAGAATGACCCAAGTTTTCATGTAGCTTTTTTTTCTCCCATGAGAGAAAATGGGCAGAAGGAAACTATGATGCCTTGTTTTCTCCCAAGCCTTATATGTCAGCTGGAAGTGATGCCAGGGCCTCTTAACAAGGGCAGGAGCTACAGCCGAGAGCTGACATCTTCCTTAGCATGAGCAAAAACTGATGACTGAGAGACAGTTAGAGGACTGGCACTGTCTGCGTGTGAGCAGGGTCTCTGCTGCTGTGGTGCCCTGAGACCTACCAGTATCAAGTCTTTGGAATAAAAGATAACTTTCAATATGTGAATTTTTTACATGTGTCTAGCCTGCAGCTCAGGGCCTCATGTGATCAAAGACAGCTACAAAACAGAAAATTGTAAACTCAGGTAAAATATTGAGTTTTTTCTTTGTCACTCAGTCATGCAATTTCAGGATGGACTTACTAAATGACAAAATCATTTTGTAGTATGAAAGACTGAACATATCTGACAATGTGTCAGAATGCCCCAGTGCCAACTTAAGGACTTCAGAGAACTTACTCCTCACTTAGAGAAGATACAGAGTCACGTCTTTTGTTCTTTTTCCTTTAAAGCCCTTGTCGTTTATTGAGCTCCCCCAATCCTCTAGTGTTAAAGGTTATGGTCGCATTTAGGGTCACATTTGTTTGTGTGATAGTGAAAGCCATGGAAGAGAATGTTAACTTGAGAGAATTCTTTGTGGTGAAAGAAATGTGAGGGCATCTAGAAAAGGTGTCCTGGTGGGCCGTGGAGTTCATGTGGAAGCTGAGTGAGTGAAGAGCTGAGAGCTAGTGTGAACTGATCAGGCTATGAGAAGGCGTCTGCTGGAGACTGCTTGTAAGAGAGTCTGGTAGTAGATGATAGCTTGGCTGTGGTGGAGGCTTAGAGTTTCAGTTTCTCAGGACTTAGCTCACAGGGCTGCCATTGCACTGCCGCTCACTCACAGTTTGATAGCACATGCTAGTTAAAGGTAGATCCCATGTGGTGTTGATCTTAAAAGAGGGGCAGTTGTGTTCAGAACACTCTCAGAATCAAGACACATCCTCGGAGCCGAGGGAAGAGGGGAGAGCAGTGCTGGCTGTTCCTCTGCAGTGATTCCAGAACTGGCTCGCCTGGCAGCTTTGTGAGATGTGGCTGTCAGACTCTAGAAGTGTGACCAGTGTAGATGGAAACTGCTTTAAACTTATTTAAATTTAACTAAATGTGGCCAGTGCCTATCATATGAGCATCCAAAGCCTGGGCTTTTAGAATGGTTAGCCTAAAGAATGAAGTAGGAAGCTGGTTTTTGGTATTTCGGATACCCAAGAAAAAGCCAAGGAAAGGTGAAACGTTGACTAAAACTCTAGTAGTTGAAAGCAGATCTCTTGGCCATTTTGATTTTTTATTTCTCTTATATTTGATCTTACCTTAAAGCATACAGTGATAAAAAGGGACTGGTAGAATTTTTTTTTTTTTGAGAGTAAAACTGAGGATCTGCATTGACCATTTTTATAATTGGCTTTCAGCCTTTTAGAAATGTATACAGCAGCCATTTGCTGCAGCAGGGAAACCCCAGGAAGTCTGTCCCATGCAGAAGCTGGACGGAGTGGTGGCTTCAAAAGCGGTACCAGTTAGAGGGCGCAGCTGAGGGAAGGCAATGACTCACACTTGTAACTGTAGTTAGTCTAAGAGGAGGCAGAGGCTGGCAGACTGCTGCAGGTTCAACCTGGTCCACACTGTGCAGTTCCAGGCCAGCTAGAGGTACATAGCAAGACCAAGCATATACACAAAGTACACATGTACCTGTAGGTATATTTACATATGTATACATTGTTACATACTATATATGTGTAATAGCTACACACACATACATATATATATATATATGTATGTATGTATGTATGTATGTATGTATGTGTCTGAGAAAAGAAAGAAAATGCTGTTAGCTCTCCATTCAATTTATTGAAAAGACAGTGCCTTCAGGTAAAACTACACCATCTCTCATGGAGTCTCTCCAGACCTCTACTAATTTCCTCTCTATGGCCCAGATGTGGTGTTACCCCCAGAGTGACATTGCAAATATAGATCTGATCCTCAGCTTTGTTTATGAACTTGGTACTCAAATAAGCATACAATAAAAGGACCCAAGCACATTTCTACTTTTGAAATGAGTGTGCTATGTGGACATTTTCTCAGGTGATAAAAATGGGCATCTTTATTTTCCATAGCAGTATGTAACTCTTTTAAGGTTAATTACAGTCTAATCCCCAGAATTCATCTTGTAGTAGAAACTATGCCAGATCTTATGGCCTACACCACAGGTCTTTTGATATAAGGATGTTCGTGCCAGCATTACTCAGGAGTGAAGTGCACACCTGCATGTAGCTGGAACAGTGAGGTAGATGATGGCTGCTAACACTCTTGTCCCAGCTGCTGTGTGTGCCTGCCAGTGTGAGGCAAATGGTGTAGTTAACTGCATGTATGTCTGCCTTCTTAGTAGTGGGTTAAAAATGATACTGTGTTGAGCTGCATGCATGATCCTGTAGTTACATTACAATAAAAACACAGGTTATATTTAAATGTTGTCTGTTCCAGAAAGTGCTTTTGTAAGCAAAGTAAAAGTTTAAAAAATTTAAAGGTGAATTAGGTTGATTAATGTATTAACTCATGATTTTTATAAATACATTATAACCGTAGTAAGGGTATGTGTATTTTTTGTACCCTATATTTTTCTGAACTTCTCTGAATTTTGTGTATTTTCTTCTTTTACAGTGTTCATTTATCACCATACTTACATTTTTTACTCTCCAAACTTGGTTTTCTCCCTTATATCAGTTCCTTAGGTGCTTTGTTTGTTTATTGGAAATGGCTAGTTATCCAGGAAGTTGCTTTCCTCATTATAGTTCATGAAAGTCTACAGACAGTGGGATGCATTGGGTTTTGTGTTTTGTTTTGTTTTGTGTTTCTAGAGACAAGATGGCTATATAACCTAGGCTAGTCTCAAACAGGTGTCACTACCACAATGTCTTGACATTTTATCTGTTGTCATTTGCAGAGGGGAGCTAGGGAAACATATATCTTCTATTTTGGATTCTTTTTTTTTTAGACAAATTAGATTATAGTCAGTGTAGACAGAAGTACCAGTATGAGAAATTCTGAGTTAATCCAGTTCATGTGCCATCCTCCATGTCCTTGAGCAATCGACTGGGAATTGCGGCATTGCTTTGTGATCTAGATGTGTTGCTTGTTTGGAAACTTAAGCAGCTTACAGTTGTCATGTGACATACACATTTTGCTAGAACACTGACAGTTGATGGAGAGTGTGTGCCACGCTCAGAATGGTTGGGGCTAAGTCTATTTTCTTACTCCTCTCCTCGGCCTATCACAATATCCAATTAGGCTCTCAAAGAAATCACTGTTGAATACCCAACTGCCTACTTTTGCCAATTTGTTTTAAAACTGCTTCTTAATGAAGTAAGGGACTTAAAGGATTTAAATAACTATTTGTGTTTGGTAAGCTCTTTTATTTGTTAGAAACAAAAAAGACTAAAGTTACCTCCTAACAAGGGGAGGGAGGAAGGGAGAGAATGAATATAAACGACCTTGTTTAAGCTTTACTTTTTTCCAGAAATCCATAGCAACACCACTGGTTTCTCTGTTGATACCCACCCAGGGCTTTCCTTTTCTTTCCTCTTGCATCTGCGTTTGAGTGACATTTTGTTTCTCCTGGCTCTCTGATTGCATCATGTTCATGTAACTCTACTGTATAGTCCTGAGAAATTGTTAATGTATGCTAATTAGCCTTAATTCGGTTTGGACAGAACAATTATACCCAGGTATAAACCCATGGGCTACCATTCAGTTTCCATTTGTCTGGCTCTTACTGTAGGCTCATTTAGAAAGGTTCTGTTACTTTCAGGTAAGGAGCCACCTGAGTTACTTTCTTAGCGTCAAGTTTCCTCAGCAGGGTTCGTGGTATTGAAAGCTCGACAAACTTTTCTAATAGGCACAAGGCCTGCATTCATCATTCCTGCTCAGTCTTTGTAACTTTTATGCTGTCACCCATAGTTTTATGTGGTTCTTAACTCAGAGTGTTACCTTTATTGTAGACAATCACGTGGTCATTTCCCCCAAGTGTTGTAGATGAGGAATTCAAGAGACCTCTTTGTTCTCTGCACCCAGGCTTGCTCGTGGAGAAGGGAGCAAACTCATTAGAATCTTCATGATAAATCATAAAGAAACTTAAGTGAGAACAAAAAATATTAATATTCTTCAACAATGTCGTACTGTTGCAGTGTAAGGACAGGTATGAATTTACTGTAGAGGTTAATAGCTTTCAATTGTAAAATGATCTCTGATGACTGAGTCTCTCCCAGCACTGTGGTAGGAGTCTGTCCTTTTATCTCACAGCTACACAACCAGTGCTGCTCTGAATTTTCTTTGACCTGACCCCAAACTTCTTCGGAGTTACGTAATTGTGTTGACTTGCTCATTTATTGTAGTGCATTGGCTGTCCTTGTCTACCAATCAAATTTTCCGGGAAAGTTATCATAACACATTGAACTTTTCTTTTACAAACAGGATAAAAGAATCAGAGTGTCTCAACCCCTAACAAGAGGACCAAGTGCCTTTATTCCAGAGAAGGAAGTAAGTTCATTTGTGTTTAATACATTGTCTAGTCTGAAACTCACTAAAACTGCATCCATATTTTCATGTAAAAGTAGAAGATGTGTTTTGCTATTTAATGTGTTATTCATGTCAGAAAAATGTGTTGTTTTTTTCAGATTCACTAAGAAAATCTTAAAGTTTTTGTGTTTAAAGAGACCAGCATTTCACAGTACTTAAATCATGTAATTGGGATAGAAAGATATTTTGAAATGAAATGTAACTTTAAAAGACAAGACAATGACTTCATTGCTGGTAGTTACTCTTTTTGCTCATTTATAAGGTTGATTGACAGGATACCACAAACTCTCTAACAACTGTGTGTCTTTGGTGAGGGTTTGGTAACAAGATGGTAAGTGCAAGGCAGTGGTACAGAGTAAGGTTTGCACCTATTTTGTTGGTAGGCATTGTGGGTGATGACAGTGAGGTCAGGGTCTTGGTGATGCCTCTGGGCTGTCATCAGGCTGAAGACCACTGTTAAGGACTTACTTGTCTGCTTGTGGGTGTCCAGTGCACATGGATGCAGTTGTCTCCTAGCTGCTGTTCCCTGGTGTGCACAACTGTCTTTGTCTGTGGATGTCTAGGGTGGTGCCTTTACTTCACTTCCTGTTCCTGCTTCAATGACCTTCTCATTGAATCAAAAAGTAAAGTGACCGTGCTGCATCTCTAGCTCTCAGAGGGGGCAGCTTCTGTACAAGAGGCGCTGCTGTGCATGTGCCTGGATGCACAGCTCAGGGCTGCACTGTGGATGGCGGCCTGATGCATGTGCGCTACGTTCTTAGGATGTGGAGCAGCACATGAATCTAGTGATATATTGTCAACACCCAGGGAGAACTCAGAAACTTATAGAGAAAGCAAATAAAAAATAGAATATTCTAGCCCTAATTATATTTGGGTTTGGAGCCTATTATTTCTCTCAACCATTCGCTCAGTCCCTCTAGTTGACCCAACAGGCAAGTGAGAGTACCCGGGGTTCCATAATGAGCTGAAGTGAAGTTGCCTTTTGTGTTTATGCCAGTGTAACTAGCATTTCTTCATAGCTCCACTTTCAGATATACTCCATTTAAGTATTTATCCACAAACACTTCCTTTGTATAATGTGCACTCCCCCAGGGGTAAAAGGAACTGTGAAGCCAGTTCTGGAGAGAGCAGTGAGTCTTTAAGGGGCATCACTTTGGACTTCACAGACCTAGTCACACCCTTTGCTATGAACTAGATGTACAACGTTGACTTACATCCAGAATCTGCTTCCTTATCTCTAAAACTGAGAAGCATATTCATCTACATCTAAAAGTATAGCTCAAAAATACAAATGGGAACTTAGCCAGTGATGGGGTCATCTTGGTATCCATCCATTCCCACAGAGCTGCATCTTTTCACAAGATTAACAAGCTCTTCACACTGCCACAGCCAACTGGGTGTGTGACACCAACCTGGCATGGAGTGTATGGCTGTCTATTACCATCTATTTTGAAAAAGTTCTTTGGTCCCTAGATGGAGGATGTAAGTTCTATTGTCATGCCTTGTTTTTAGTAATTACTATGTTAGGCTTAAACTAGCAATGATGGAATCTAGTGTCCGTATTAATTTTCAACTAATATTTTCCCACAAGTCATTATATGTTCCTGTATCTCAAAAAAAGATTTCATAAAGATGTTAAAAATATTGACTAGCAAAAACAACAAAGGATCAGATATTTGTCCAAAATAATGCAAATAATTTTCTTTGTCAGTTGATGAAAGTAGCCTGCAAATACATGTGACCAAATGCTGCTGGATTTGCCTTGCTACATTTGTGTGACAATGGCCAGGCAATGGGCTCTGGAGTCTGTCTGCTTGCCTGCAAAGACAGATGGAGGCTTCTTCCCTCAGCTTTATAGCTGCGTGTTTAATGTTTGATAACTTACCATTTGTTGTTTAATAAATTGTGGTACCAAAGCCAAAACTGAATGGTGCTTTCTCTTTTTAAATTTCTGTTTCTAGTATGAGCAGCTGCATAATTTCAGGGTCTGTTAGCATCAGATGAATATGTATTTCTCCGGTAGGCAGAGTCCGCGGAAAGCAAAGCTCTCTTTCCATCACAGTAGTCACGACAGTCTCTGCTCTTGGTTAATAGGTTGTCCAAGCAGACACGGTGGATGAACGGACAAACTTTCTTGTGGAAGAGTACTCTACGTCTGGTCGCCTGGACAACATCACACAAGTGATGAGCTTGCACACTCAGTACCTGGAATCTTTCCTGCGGAGCCAGTTCTACATGCTGCGCATGGATGGCCCCCTTCCCCTCCCAGACAGGCACTACATTGCCATCATGGTAGGTGCTTACTTCCCACTACTCCCTGCCGTCATTAACTAGGTTCCCCATATTCTGTGTCCCTTCTAAGGTATGTGTTTGGGGGAGAAGTGTGAGTGAGTGTGCCTGTTAAGAGACTGTGTATGTGAATGTGTGGAATGTGTGTGTGTGCATGTGAATGTTTGGGGGTGTGTGGGTTAATATGTATATGAGTGTGAGACTATATGTATGGGATGTGTGTGTGAGTGTATACATATATGGTTGTGTGTGTATCTGTTGAGGGGTGTGTATGTATATGTATGTATGTGTGTGTGCATATATGTATGTTTATATGTGCATGCATGTGAAGCTGAGTATAGTTACATGGGGCATAACTGAAGAAGCCTCTGGCTTTTTGAATGCCATATCCCTTGGATACATTCAGAGTTGCTTTAAGTCACTTAATATGCTGAGTATTTCTTGTTTAACCTTCAGTGGAATTATTTTCATGTTTAGTTTCTTATGATTAAAGATGGATTTTGGGTCCAGTTTTGCTGTTATTCTTGGGGTCTTTTTCTGCATAAGCTGATTGAAGGCATTTTCTTTAGTCATCTTGTACATGAAGATGATCGTTGGTATGGAGTAGGAGAAAAGTTCCAGTTGTCACTAGTGACAGATCTGTATAAGAGAAGACTTACTGAGTGGATCACAGCACTTCTAAGTGTGGACCTTGTGGCTCATTAGTCCATGCTATCTGCAAGTCAAGGGCCGGGGCAGGGAGCTGTGGTGGAGGTCCTAGAGCAGTAGGAGGACGGGAGAAGCTGTGCTCTACTGAGTCAGCCAGTGGGGAAGAGAGTGGGGGCATGAGCCCATGCTGCTGTGTGTGGAAAGGTAAAGGCAGCAGCCAGCAGAGCTGCCCTGTCCAGGAGAGCGTCACCGAGCTGAACAAAAAAGCAGCATTCTGTGCGTTCTGACATGAACTTGATGAACTGTGACTTTAACACAAGTTTTCAATGACAGCAAGGCTGAAAGCAGACTGAGAATGCTCACTCCCTAAGACGGAGCTGAGATACAGAGACTGGAAAGAATAAAATAGAGTTTTTACAAGCAGCAGCCGTCCTTCACATGAGTGTCCCATTGACAGCACTCAGCTGACATTGACTACATAAAGAGAGGATCCATGATGGCGGTATCTAAGCCCATCCCTGAGTTCAGAGGTGACTGCTCCATTCATAGTACGGGAAGATGAGGGAAGTCCTCATATAAGCCAGATTCCTGATTAGGATACACATTCCTAGAAGCTCCTGAACTTTAGATGGAACGTACCGTATCTTCCCCATAGCAGACTTGCCCCGTGCCTGTGTGTTTCCTGAAAATAGCTAGTGTAGCTGCTGCTCTGTGTCCACCAAACTCAGGAGGAAGTCGTTGACTTCATGTGACAAGTATTTGGTATTTGCTTTGAAAACTGCATATCCGCCTCATTATTGACTCAAGAATCTGCAACAACAGTGTGGTAAACAGTTCTGAGGGAAGATTTTGTGAGGAAAGAACTACTGAGTGAAATCTGAATTGGCTCCATCTGCATTACTCACTGTGGAAAGACCTGCTCACGACTGTTCTCAGGAAGCTTGTTTCTGTGCTTTAGGCTGCAGCCAGACACCAGTGTTCCTACCTGATAAACATGCATGTGGATGAATTTTTAAAGACTGGAGGGATTGCTGAGTGGCTGAATGGCTTAGAATATGTACCACAACGACTGAGAAATCTTAATGAAATTAACAAGTTGCTGGCACACCGGCCCTGGCTGATCACGAAAGAGCACATTCAGGTATTGGGTGTTTCTATACAGGTTCTGAGTTACGCTTGAAGTTTGAGAGTTTATTCATAGCATCTTTTTCATTATACATGTGTATATGTATAAGGACTTAATTCTAAACACCTATATATTAGTAACCGGAGAAATAAGAGATGCTGTATTACTTACATAAAAGAATTAGAAATTCAGTGGGTTTCATTTAAGTGCAAATAAAAATTGATCCTCTATAAGCGTTGCTCATTGGCCTGAACTTGTGCTTTGGTGTCTGACTGAGAAAAGTTGGCTTCTCTTGTCAAGGAGATAATAGATCCAAATCCACTAGTATCAATGATGTCCTGCTTCTGACTATATTGTCAGTGATATGTGCCCTTTAGTTAGTAAATTCCATAAAGTTGGAAGATCTCTGAGTTCTAAATCCTTCAGTAGTTTTAACATTTCATAATTTAAGACTCATAAAGAAATGGTTTTTATAAATCAGAAGTGACTTCCAGCTGGTGTGGGAATTACTGGCCAGATAAGAAATAGACATCTCCATCTCAGACACTTAGTTACTTCCTCAGACACAGTGCTGCCCAGCAGAGTTCAATGCAGAAGAAGCCTTACCTTTGTCTCAGATACTTGCTTACAAATACACATGTAATTTGCTAATACCACTGTCAGGTTTTTAAAGCAAGCACTCTGTTTCTATTTTTTAATATTAGATTTTGGTAACTTTTGGACTCTATGGAGCATAGCACGGTTCTAGGCCTATATTCTGATTTCATAGTGTGTTAGTCCGTCAGAGAATTGATAGGATGGTCCTCAGATAGGGAGGACATAGTGACAGTTGAGGGGGACTAAGGAGAGAGGACTGGGCACAGGCAGGACAAGCCAACATTTCAAAGACGAGTGAACAGTGTGGATCGCTCCAGGGCTTGACAGGAGCTGGAGCACAAAGAAGCTATTCATTGTAGCAGGTAACTGAAGAGAAAACAGAAGAACAATCTGACATCAATTCAGAAATGAAATAGTTAGGTGCATTACAATTGTACCTGTGCTTTAAAAATAGTGTAACAGTATAGCCTCATGAAAAATGAACATGTCAAAAATGTCAGATTTGAAAAGCAGAAAAATATATGTCTAAGGCTGTGGTCATATAAAGATGATTTTTTTTAATAGAGAAAAGAACAGCATTACCTGTGTGAATGAATACTGAACTGATGGAAAGGAGTCTCTGTGGAGTATTGGTGAAATTCACCCTTGGGAGTTAATCCTGCAAAAAGCAACCTATGAGAGAAAAGATTTATTGTAAATTACAATTCCAAGTTGCAGTCCATTAATCATTGCAGGGAAGTGAAGACAGGATCTTGAAGCAGCATGCACATCCACATGTCAGGAACAGAGAGAGAATGCATGCATTCTCAGCTAGCTTTCCTCTACTTTTATCCAGTTCAGGACCTGATCCTCTTTTGGAGTGGGCTTTCAAGTAATATAATCAGGAAAATTATTCACTGAAGTGCTAGTGACTGGCTTGTAGTTGTCTGCAGACACAGTCAGGTTGGTAGCTAATATTGGGTATTACATGGTATTGTTTTTAATTGGATTTAATTGTGGCTATAAATAGAGGCCAAATGAAATAGCATATGAAAAAGTGTACTGACATGTCATAAGTTCTTACTCCAGTGGACAGTCACTTTCCATCCTGCGGAACGGGGAGGTGGAGGTCTCTACCAAATGCTGTCTAGAGGGAAATCAACAGCTATCTTGTTAAACCGGATCTTCACGTGACTTTGGGACAGAGTATCTAAAATGCCTGAAAATGAATGGCTTTGGTAGAAATTGTCAAAGCCACTTCCAGCTTTAATGTTTCTTGATTATCTTAACATCCTATTAATGTTACAGTGCTGTAGTACAGTATTTATTATAGGCGATGCCACCACATGTTGCAAGGCTTTGGTAGTTTGCACATGGCATCGTGTGACCAAAGGCCTATCTAATGTGTGAAACATTCTAAAAGAAGTTTTAGTTAACATGACTGCAAGTGAGCATGTGAGACTGTGGCTTCCTCTGGTTTTCATGTTGACCTTGGCTCATATTCTCATTTCAGAAACTTGTCAAAACTGGAGAAAACAATTGGTCCCTGCCTGAGCTAGTGCACGCCGTGGTCCTCCTGGCTCACTATCACGCTCTGGCCAGCTTTGTTTTTGGTAGTGGCATCAACCCAGAGAGAGAGCCGGGAATCTCCAACAGTTTCAGATTAATCTCAGTGAACAGCTTCTGCGTGTGTGATCTGGCTAATGACAACAGCATCGAGAATGCGTCCCTGGGGGGCAACAACTTTGGGGTTCGTACTCAACTGCTTCTCTGTAGCTGGAACCTGCTTGTTTGTTTCCCGGACACCCAGATCTGAGTAATTACACAGAAACAGTGTTATAACACTGGCATATTAGCTCAGGCTTTTCATTAACTAACTCCTACATGTTAAATGAACCCGTTTCTATTAATCTGTATTAATCTCTACGAGGCTGTGGCTTATTCAAAAGTTTCTGGCAGCGACATCTTTCTCCTTCAGCAGCTACATGGCTTCTCCCTGACTCTGCCCACTTCCCTCCACATCTCCAGCTGGTCCTCCCACCTAGCTCCACTCCACCCTGCCTTAGGCCGAAGCAGCCTCCCCATCAATCAGTGGCAGGGGAGCCCCACATCATTTCTCTTGGAAACTTCTTGCTGATATTATCCAGAGAGAGTGCACTGTGACCAGAGAAAATATTACCTACTTGAAAGATGCTGTTAGCATTGTAAAAGTTTCATCAGTACCTGAAGTTTTGACTATTTTTTTTAAATATTTTATTTATTTGTTTAGTATGTATACAGTATTCTTTCTTCAGTCCAGGAGAGGGCACCAGGCCTCATTACAGATGGTTGTGAGCCACCATGTGGTTACTGGGAATTGAACTCAGGACCTTTGGAAGAGCAGGCAATGCTCTTAACTACTGAGCCATCTCTCCAGCCACCTTGACTATTTTTTTTAACTTTAGGGCTTTATTATATAATGCCTTTGCCCACCCATATATGAATTTTTAAGTTGTTATCACTCTGAAGACACTATAACCAAGAAGACTCTAAGCTTTCTTCTTTAAACATACACCCTTGTTTACAGAGTTCACCTTTCCACTGACAGTGGAAAACCATACTGAAATTTATCATTAGACTATTTTTCTCTTCTTAAATGTGCTTCTGAATATCTTTGTGGCCAAGGTGACTTCTTGACCTTAATTTCTTGGTATACATGATGTCTGTACCCTTCTTTGGATTTCCTACACCTTTCTTAGCACCTTAAGCAAAGTGATGTTGTTAGAATAACAAAACTGAGCATTGATACAGCCAGTATCACAGACCTTTAAAGTCAAACCCTTGCACAACACCTGTCTGTAGGGTGCTCGACAACTGAGGGAAATACATCTTAGGAGGCAGAAAGGAGAAGTTTTGAGACAGCATATACCAAACACTAAAATTCTGTATTTATACACACACACACACCTATAATTTTTTTGTATTTATAACTGAAGCAGACTCATACATCTGAAAATATTTGAGTATGTCATATAATTGCTGTGAAGTTAGTGAAAAACTCAAGTTATTTTTTTAAATAGCTTCAATGAAATGTCAATCACGTTTCACCCAATTTACCCATTAAAAGGGTACAACCAACTACTTGTAAGGATGATCACAGAGTTTGGCAACAATAAATTTTAAGATGTTACTGCAGTATAAAAAGCAACTCCATAGCCATTAGCGTCACATACACACATCCTCTTCTCCCATGCGTAGCCCATGGCAGTCACTCATCTGCCTTCTATCTCTATATACTTGCCTACCCTAGCCATATTTAAAATATTTCTGCCAATTAAAAGTTCATATCATTTGGCTAGTATCTCTGCTGCAGCCAAAATAACTGTCCTTTGTGCATGCTATAGTAGAGTTGGAGAAGGAGGGGCTTCCTGGAGCAGTCTGTAGTGCCATAGCACCAACATTGTCTTGTTCTTCCAGATTGTGGACTCACTCGGTGAGCTAGAAGCCTTAATGGAAAGGATGAAAAGGCTTCAGGAAGACAGGGAAGATGGAGAGACGACTCAGGAAGAAATGACCACGCGTTTTGAGAAAGAAACAAAAGAAAGTCTCTTTGTGGTCCCTGGAGAGACTTTCCATTCATTTCCTCACTCAGGTGTGTTCTTCCTTGCTCTTGGCTAGTTGTTCAGAGACTATTAACCACCAGCCTTTAGTATTTTCCATACAACTACATAAAGATGAGTCTGCTACCATCTTTCTTTTACCCCATGCACACCTGCTTCAGCAACAGTGGGGTGCATTCTGAGAAACCTGCAGTTATGCAGACACTATGGAGTGCACTTTCACACACTTAGATGGTGCACCTTCTGAACACGAAGAGTGTACAGCTATTGCCATCAGAACATGGCATGATATTCGACAGTACCTGTTTGATAAGTGAATGGGGTGTGTTCAACAATAGCACGAGAAGTACAGATAGGAAATACATAAATCTGTGGCTCTATTTTGTGTTATATCATGGTATCTGCTGTGTGGCTGGCAGGGCGCCAGGTCTGTTCATAGTGTTGTCACCTCAAGTGTGACATGCTTGAGACTGCAGTGTGCTAGCTATAGTGTCACAGGCTGTAGGAATTTTCTAGATCCAGTGTCATCTTGAGGAACCACCTTCATATATGCATTCAGTCTTTGACTAAATAAAGTGTTGTTACACAGCACATGGCTATCACTAATCCTGAGACAGATATGTAGGGCTCTTGTCCTGATTCTGGATACATATTCAAAGCAGATCAGTTGCTGAGATCAGCAAGATGGCTCAACAGTACTTGTCACCAAACCTAACAGTCTGAGTTTGACCCTGAGACCTCATGGTGAAAGACTGGAACTTACTCCTGCAGGCTCTCATCTGACCTCCACACATCCTCCATGGACTGCATACACCTATGCACATACACAGTTATATAAATAAATGTAAAACTAAATTTTTCTTATACTCTTAAGGAATTTTTGAATAGTAAGGCAACTTTCCAATTCCATCTCTAAAGGTATAGAGCAGGCTATAGTAACTATTACTCAGCAGCATAGACAGGATAAACACAAGCCTTCAAAGGTGTCGTCTAAGCTCTGGGAACTGTGCTGCTGTGACATGTATGCCAACTCAGAAGTGCTGCAGAAGAACAGTGTGCCTTTTGTCTTTTTCTTGATCATTTTAAATTTTAGATTTGCTTTATGTGTGTGTGTTTTCCCCACATGTATATATGTATATCACATGTGTGCGTGGTGCCCATAGAGGTCACTGATCCCCTGGAACTGGAGTTGTGAATGGTTGTGACCCACATGTCTGTGCTGGGGTTCAAACCGAGCTCCTCATCAAGAGTACCCAGTGCTCTTAAATGAGAGCCGCCTTTCAGTCCAGAGACCTTTGCACAGTACACAAGAGCAGAGAAGAGGCCAGGAGGGAGCCTTAAGCTAGAGCACAGTGTGTGATATTATCCATGTCTCACAGGGAGCTTGAGTCAGAAACTAAGAAATGAATTGGGTGTATTGCAGTTAACTAAATTCCAGACATTAACAAAGAAATGAAAAAATACAGAGAAAAAAGTGAGGGAAAAAAGGAGAGTAATGCAGTGGGTGTGTTAATACTGCAGCGGGGGAATGTTGCTGGTGTGTTAATGCTGCAGCGGGGGAACGTTGATAGTGTGTTAATACTGCAGTGGGGAGCCTTGCTAGTGTGTTAATCCTGCAGTGGGAGAACATTGCCGGTGTGTTAATACTGCAGCGGGGAGCCTTGCTGGTGTGTTAATACTGAAGTGGGTAGCATTGCTAGTGTGTTAATACTGCAGTGGGGGAACGTTGCTGGTGTGTTAATACTGCAGTGGGGAGCCTTGCTGGTAGAGCACTGTTTGAAAAGACAGACAGTGCTATTAGAGTTAATATCTCTGTACTCTAATATTTCTGTTTCTTTAAGATCACCAGAGCTTGTAAGATATAAATACTTTACCTCTTTATGGTGTTTTGAAATAATAGAAATATCTTTTAGGTTGCAAGTAGACTTCTCCTTTTTTTCTTTTCAAGACAGGCTTTCTCTGTATGGCCCTGAGTTTACTCTATAGACCAGGCTAACGTTGAACTCAGAAACCTGCATTTGGAGTGCTGCATATGCCACCACACCTGGCTCCAAGTAGACTTCTTGAACCCTTACACAGACTACTTAAAGATAATTTTTAACTAAAAAATCTTGAACCTGTTAGAATTTTTAACTAAAGAAATCTTGAACCTATTTCAAAAATTATATTCTTATTTAAAATATTTTTTTAGATTTATTTTATGTATATTAGTGTTTTGTCTGTCTGTCTGTGTATACATACACACACACACATATGTGTGTGTGTGTGTGTGTGTGTGTGTGTGTGTGTGTGTGTAATGTGTGCATGTATGTCTGGTACCAGAGGAGGTCAGAAGAGGACATTGGATCACCTGGAACTGGAGTTTCAGGTGGTTGTAAACTGCCATGTGGGTGCCAGGAATTGAACCCAGGTCCTCAGAGAAGAAACAAGTACTCTTAACAGCTTATCCATCTCTCCAGCTGCTACATTCTGATTTAAATAAATAAGGCCATATCATATATCAGTCATTCCATTGTATTTTTTATCATTAACCATATCAGTACCAAATTTGCCATAATGATCCTGTACAGTGGATAATTGAGTTTCAGATAGATAGATATAGATAGATAGATAGATAGATAGATACATACATACATACATACATACATACAAATAAATATTTATCAATTTTAGAATGAAAGTAGAAATTAATTTTTTCCTATTTTAAAAAGTATTAATATGACAAAATTCCCTGATTCCATGTAAGGAAGAGTTGACTATAAGAGTCTTTAATTCTGAAGAAGGCATGTTTATTGTATTCATATTACCTTTATGAGAGAACCACTGTGTTACTACAGTGGAGTGTCTTCTGTATCACACTGCTAACTACCTATCTATTGTCTGAAAGCTGTATACAGACAGACGTAATAGAGAGACCCTGTCTCAAAAAAACAAAACAAAAACAAACAAAAAACCCAAGAAAATTATGTGTGTGTGTGTGTGTGTGTGTGTGTGTGTGTGTGTGTGTGTGTGTTTAAAATGCTGTTTCCTTTTAGAACATACTTAAATATTTGTTTAGGTAAAATCCGAAATAATTTCAGGCTGTTGATTACCAGAGTAGTATTTGTAATCCTTCAAGGTAAATCTAGAAAGAATAGTGTCAGTCAGTTCTTTGTGACTCTTACAAATACTAAAATGATCAGTCCAGCTTGTGCAGAGCTGCTGGATTAGGCATCAGCCTGTGATTGCCTGGCCTTTTAGACATCAGCCTGTGATTGGCTGGCCCATTGTTTTGGATCTGTGATAACACAAGTCCAGGAAGACACCAAGGTCCTACAGTCACTTTTAAGGAAACCCTAACCACCTAAACACCTCACAGGAGGCTTGACCTCCTACAGGTCCAGCCTTTTCCATGTGGACATTGGAAGAACACTTAAGACCCAAGTGTAGTAAACTGTAAACAGTCAAGGGACCTTCATACATCCTTTTATATGGACAGATTGCTTAGAAAACAGCTCTTGTCTGCTGCTAATTCTAAGTTATAAGGTTTCTCCTGGGGCCCACTTTGATATGGTTAGTTAACTATTTTGAAATTAGCATGTTTAAAATTGTGATGATTTAAAATTAGAATATTTAAATTGTAATTTAAAATTAGAATGTTTAAATTGTAATTTAAAATTAGAATGTTTAAAATGAGCAAAACAGTGACTAGTATCAAAGACAAAGGGAGTCCTTTGACAGACAAGTACAGTGTTAGCGCTTGCAAATGAATCCAGTGACCCAGGGGCTAGGGAAGCTAACAGTTCAGTGCCACAGATGTTCTTGGTTGGGTTTTGTCATTTGGTTATGGTGTGATGGGTGGATGAAAGAGAAGCATGACTTCTTTGAGTCGAGAGCCAATGCTTTGAAAACCATTGCTGTACTAACGTTCTTTGAATGGAGCCTGGACTGTAGGCAAATCAGAGGTTATGAGTTCGTATTACACATAAGCCCTCATACAGGGCTTTCCTCACAGACGAAAACTGCTTAAAAGCTTTAGATGGTGCTGGGGACAGAGCTCCTGGGTGAAGTATTTGCCCCACCCCCACCCTGTATACACAAGGCCTAGCACTGGAGAAAGTGGAGAAAGAAGAAAAGATAAGAAAGAAAAGCTTCAGATCAGAACTGACTAATAGTTACTTATTTCTTAAGTGAATTTTTCTTTTTAATATAACGAATTAAGGAAAAATGTGGCTGTTGGGGTTCTGGCATCACACCTGCTATGCAGGAAGTGCTCAGCAGGTGTCAGTTTCCTCTTGGCCTAAGTAATGAAGGGTGAGGATTCAATGCCATGTGTTCAGTGCTATGTAGTCTGGGAATCTGATCTTCTCTGCTCTTCTCATACATCCTGAAATGAGTTGATGGCCCCAACTTAAAGATAAAAAGGAGACTTCTTTTTCTTATTAGAATTTTCATGTATAGTCTTTCAGAAGAATTTGTGTGATTGTTTCTCAAACTCCTAAAAATTTTACCCAGATGAGAATTAGTTTTTTATTAAAGATCAAACTAATTTAACATAAATTACTTACAAAGAACTTATTTCTTGCATAGGAACTACTTTTTTATTTTGAGAATGATGTGTTCATTTATAGAATAAAGAAAAAAGTTTGTTTATTCACTGTTAAATAGTTGAAATCATGGAGAGGGTGGAGTAATTACAAAGACACTAATCTAAAACACAGTCAGTTGGAAGAAAATTGTTTTCAGCTTAAAATAATATGCACTAAGCATTTACAGTTCCTCAGTAGTGGGTTTTACCAGCGAGCATGCTGAACCTGTGGTAATGGCAGTGTCGCCTCCCTGGCGTCCCTGCACTCTGGGGCAGTGCCCTGACCACAGCTTCAGCAGCTCTCTCGACACCATGGGAGTGTTCTGCTCACATGTGCGTGCTCAGGCTTGGGGAAGGGTGTTCACCAACTGCACAGAGAGGCTAGCCAGACACCCAGAGGCCCCTTCTCTTGGAATTCCATGCCTCATGTCTTGACTGGCTTGCTCCTGGAAGCTAACAGTGAACTAGAGTGAAGGGATTTTTGCTATTAAATGTAACCAGATATAATTTTAAAAGATCTGTCTTCAAACTCAGTCATTGTTTCTTTTGTCTCTTCTCTTTCCCCATATCCCATGTTATCCCCTTGAAGAGGTCAAACAAGCTTTAAATCTTAGATTCACAAGCCTTATCTTTTATTTCTAAATTAGTAAATATGCCATAGTGATCTTTTGCTATTGTTGTTTAAATATTTTAATTTAGTTGTTTTTTTTTCCTGCCTACTCTAATTAAATCTTATTACCCAATATTTGGTAAGGAAATTGTATTTAGAAGTTCACTAACCAGTATTTTATGTGACTATATGCCAAGTAGTCAACATTGTCACTTTTGAAAACCAAAAAATTGGAGGGAAGTGGGTTTCAGGCTCATTATCTTGGCTGTGTAAGTATCCTGAATGCCTTTATTGTCCCTTAGATTTCGAAGATGACATGATCATAACGGCTGATGTTTCCCGATACATCGAAGACCCAGGTTTCGGGTATGAGGACTTTGCCAGGCGAGGAGAAGAACATTTGCCAACATTCCGAGCCCAGGTACACAGAGCTTTTAACATAGAGAAACTAGAGAGTTCTGCCCTTCCAAGGGATAACTGTTGAAATGTAAATAAAGTGTCTTCTAAAGTAGCCAGTAGGCATTTTGATGGGATCTTCAACCCAGTCTATCTGACGTTCCCTAGGAAGGTAATTATTTCAACATACTCGCCTTAGGAAGTCACTAGTAAACAGTTTGCTTAGCTTAGTTGCCTGCATTATGCAGGATAGTTATATATGTGTGTACCATTCTTGGAGGGGCAGGGAAGAAATCAAACCATCTATGACATTTATAGTGAGGCATTTGGAAATCTGACTGCAGCAGTCCTCCCACAGTACAGTGGAACTCTGTGGGGACAGGAGTTAAATCCAGACTCCTTCATGCTTGAGTAAATTTGATGGCATAGCAATAGCCAAGAACTTCTGGGTCCTGTCAGATAGAGTAGAGTGTGCAGAGTGCCTGTCCGGAGGAGGAGGCCAGAGTTCATCTCAAGCATGCCACACCCTAGACCCTAGGAGACAATACCCTGTCTCTGCACTCCACAGCCTGACCAGTAGCATGCTTGGTAAAGCTGCCATCCTAGAACTGAGTCAGAAATACCCCACACTAACTTTGTTTAATAGTTTTATCTTATTTTAAAAATAAAAAAAACTACAGGGTTTAGCAGAGAATGCTCATTTTGTAAGTGGACCTTTTTCTGCATCCAGGACTACACCTGGGAAAACCACGGCTTCTCGCTGGTGAACAGGCTTTACTCTGACATCGGACATCTCCTGGATGAGAAGTTTCGGATGGTCTACAATCTCACCTACAACACAATGGCCACCCATGAGGATGTTGACACAAGCACGCTACGCAGAGCATTGTTCAACTACGTTCACTGTATGTTTGGAATCAGGTGTGTTCACTGTGCAGACAATGTTACACATTTCTGAGTGGAAATTCAAGCATTTGTTATATATGTTTGGGAGTACATCTTTCTGGAGGGGGATAAATGCTACTTGATTTAAAAATTAATTTCATCTTAGAGATTATTTTCTCCATTTAAAGTGTTTGGAACTTAGAGCGATGGCTTGCTTGGTAAACCTGCCATAGATAGAGCATTAGGACCTGGACTCAATCCCCAGCACTTACTTAAATGCCCACTTGAATCCCAGCCCTCGGAAGGTGGGGACAGGTCCCTAGGCCTCACTGCTTAGCCAGCCTTGCCTAATTGGCAAGCTGCAGGTCCTAGTAAGAGATCCTGTCTCAAAAACTAAGGTGGACAGCATCTGAAGACTAGTACTAAAGCTTGGCCTCTGGCTTCCACACATGTACTTCACATGTACATGAACATGTAAGTAAATCACAGATAAATAAAAAGTGTGTTGTGAATCGTGATAATGACACAGGCAGAGCGGTAAGACTGTGTTTACTAAGGCAGGGGAGTAAACAGAACGAGATGCAGGTTTGAGAATCCTTCCTGATAGGTCAGTGTGGGGAGAAAAAGGTGTCCATTCAGATAGCAATAACAAATTCAGGTCTGTATGGTTACTGTGGCTTGCCTTATGAAGGAATTATAATTAGGGCACTCTGTCCTCCCAGTGCTGGGCTACTCCCCAAAGCACCAAGGTGAGGTGGTTGGGCCACAAGTTAATTAACAGCCTTTAAACTGAAGAAGTGAGCTGGAGAGGATGGTAAGACCTGGAGGGAAGAAGATGGAGCGGTCTATCGGGAAAGCTGCTTGAGCTGGGCTCTGTAGACTTCCTTAGGACATAGATTTGCAAACAGAAGTTAGCAAGCACATCAAAAAAAAAAAAGTATTACAGATTGAAAGATTGAAACTGGGATTCAGTTTCAATTTGTTAAGCAGTCTTTTCTATAGTTTTAACTCAAACACCACAAAATGGCCGACAAATCAACTAATAAAGAGCACTACCAGGTCAGCATTCCTCACCTGCTCTGCCTGCACAAGAGAAATCTTGTACAAAAGAGAAAGTTAAAAACATGTCCAACCCTAACCATGATCTCTTGCTCACATAACTTTGAATTTGGGACTATTTAGAATTTTGGTTTTAAGACTTTCCTGCTCCATCGGTCTGAAGTGTTGCCTGACTCATAACAGTGTGTTGGACTCAGGGTCTCACCCTCTGACTGACAACACCTGACCGGCCTTTACTGGCTGACCGGCCTTCACCAGCCAGCCGGCCTTCACTGGCTGGCCTTACTCTTGCTCATTCAATACCTTCCAGTATTTTCTCACCTGCCTGCCCTGCTGAAAATTACAGTCCAATACTCCAATGCTGTATATCCATTTTTCTTTCCTCTTTGGTTTTTCAAGACAGGGTTTCTCTCTGTAGCCCTAGATGTCCTTGAACTCACTCTGTCGGCCAGGCTGACCATGAACTCAGAGGTCCGCCTGGCTCTGCCTCTGGAGTGCTGGAATTAATCGTGCACACCACCACAGTCTGGCCCACTTTTCTCTAAGTAGTTACCACCGCCTCCAAACTGTATGTTTGCTTTGTAGTGTTTTCTCTTTACATCTTAATAGAGTTTAAGCTCTGTGACACTAGGAGTGGATGTTTTTCCCTCTTGTTCACTACAGAATCTCAGTAATGAGAAGGGTGTGTTATACACCAGACATTCAGTAAATACTCCTTATGACTTACTTAATGGACTTTGCTTATGACATCATTGATAGCAAGGCCTAAGCAGTGAGGCTTGGGTTTCACATCACAGTACTGTCACTCACAGGTATGATGACTATGATTATGGGGAAGTTAACCAGTTACTTGAACGGAGCCTGAAGGTTTACATCAAGACGGTGACCTGCTACCCCGAGAGAACCACAAAGCGCATGTATGACAGCTACTGGCGGCAGTTCACACACTCAGAGAAGGTCAGTGTCATCACCAAGCAGACTTCAAGGACATATGTTCAGCATGACAGTTTCAATCGTGAAACAAGGAGGATGGTGAATTGAGCTAGCTCTTTTTTCATGTTTTATTAATCTAAAGTATGTTGACTGTTGACTAATTTAGCCGTGTGCTCTTGTCTAAGAGGGTGCACATCTGAGTCAGTGCCCTGTCACTGTGATAGCACCTGGTGGGGAGCATCTTTACAGCTCTGAGGTCACACAGGTCAGAGCAGGGCCTGCCCAAGGGTGGCACCATCCCACATCTATTATCAACCAAGATGCCCCACAGACTTACCCGCAGGCCAATCCTATGGAGGCATTTTCTCATGTTTCCTTCTCCTCAGATGAACTTAACTTCTGTCAAGTTGACATAAAGTAGCCAACATTTTAGCATCAGCCTTTCAAAGATTGAATCTAAATACTAATAAATCTATTAAATTCTATTTAAAAAAACCCACTAAGAAGCAGTACTGGGTAGAATTGTACCCAGCCTGGAAGACACTGCCATTTAGAAACTTAGTAGCTACCAGGTTACTGTTCCAACAGAAAATTCTCATTGTAATTTAGTATTTTGCCATTATAGTAAAGGACATGTGAGCCAAATATATTTTTACATAAGAATATATGTGGATGGAGTAATATGAATTATTATTTAGATCAGAACCTATAGTAAGAATGAAGAATCTTTACCAACAGTATAGCATCAGATCTGACTTTAGGTCCTAGGCCTTTAAAGCATTGAATCTGTCTCCTTTATACTACTGCGTTCAAGCTGAATGTGAAAAACTCATTCTGGGGTCCTAATGGTCCCCAGTGATCTGTACAGCAGTGTGTTATGGCTCCAGTTTTAATAATTTTTGAAGTCTTAAGTTTAGTCATATTACCCACTTCATCTTCAGCCTTGATGCATCCTTATGCTGTTTTTATATTTGCAATAGATTTCCTCCCTTTCTAGAAATTGTATATTGCCATCAGGAGCGTATGCCCAACATCATGTTTAAATGATAAAAAGATGTGGAGTAACTCAATGCTAGAGCAGCCATGCTCAGATGATAGGAAGGTGTGGAGTAGCTCAATGTTAGAGCATTTCCTTGTAGTCAGTTTAGAAAGTGTAGGGGTTTTACATCAGCCTTTCAGCTGAGAGGTTTTCCCCCAGAGAGAAGCCCTGAGATTTTCCCAGAGTGTTTGCAAGTGGTGGGCATCTGGTGAGATCAGATAGTCACACAAACCGAGCTGAGCTTCTGCTTCACTCTAGGGCTTAAAGTTAAACCTGGGAGTGTATTTTTAACTTTAATTCTTAATTTAAAATTTTAAATGCTAGGAATGTGTTTTTAATTTTATTTTAAATTTACATTTACTATCCACAACAGCAAGTTTGAGTGTTCATCATATATATGTGCATATTCAGGGCTGTGGTTGGTATCTGAGTACGTAGAACATATGCAAATGGGGTACCTGAAAAGCTCTCCGCATTCTTCCCCTGTGTTGTGAAGTCACTGAGCTAGTGCCATTTGGTTTCCAGGTCCATGTGAATCTACTGCTGATGGAAGCCCGAATGCAAGCTGAGCTGCTTTACGCTCTGCGTGCCATAACTCGGCACCTGACCTGAAGCGCCACCAGGAAGGCGTCAGCATGTGTCGGGGCCTCTCACACAGGACTCATGTCAGAACTTGTTTGTGACGCAGCCTCAGCAGTTACTCAGTTCCTAGTGTCAAAGTTTAGCTGTCGAGGTTTATTGTTTCTGTTTTTGTTTTGTTATTGTTGTTAGGGTTTAATTTGGGGGGGGAGTTGTTTGTTTTGTTTGTTTTTTTTATTTTTTCTGGCTGTAATGTGCAATGGTGTGTTTTATATTTCTCTATGCTTAACATTGCTAACAGTTGCTAAAGTAACCCTGACGAGCACTACTTCACATTGCTTAGAGCTGGACTGTGGGATCTGACATAAATCATGACCTGGTTTGTTAAGGCTTCACTCAGTGCTCTGGAGTTCATGTGTATGTGTCTCTCTTGTCTTTACTTAAAGAGCATACGGAAAAGTGCTTGCAGTCTGCTCAAGCAGTTCTTCCTCCGTTATCAACATCCGGCAAAGAATGGTGTCGTCTACCGGAAGCTGCCCACATGTGTCCTGAGTCTGGGAGGGCTTGTGCTATTGAACCAAGCTGCCCCTGGAGCACAACCTGTGCCCCAGAGATGATCAGGCACTGTTCTGTTTTCATTTATCTGATTTTTTTTTCTTACACTGCAATTGACAGTAACGTGAAATGTGATACAGACATTGTCCATAATTTAATGTGAAATTAATTATGATGAATTCTATAGCATGCTACTGAAATGCCAAATTCAGCTACTTTCTTTGTCTTCTAAAGCAGAGGCCTCATTTTCCCACATGGCTGTCTGTGCGGCAGTGGACTTAGGCACAGTTCCTTGAGCCCTGCACCACGGTCCTCGTCACCTCTAGTAGCTGGTGTCTACAGTGCTTTACAGCTCGCACACAAATCCCAGCACACAACACTGACCAAATGTTTCTTTGCACATGCTCCTTTGCTGAGAGTTAAGGAAGGTTAGTTAATACACCCCTTTTTTCCCCTGTTACAGCTTTGGAAATTATTTTACATGATTTTCGTCTTATAATACGTTAAGTCATTTGTTATTCAAAGGAAGAATGTGTTTCTGTGCATTAATGTGATTGAGCAACAACAAAACAGTGCAATGTTTTCAAAAATCAACTCAGCTTCCCCTATCATGTCACTACAGAAGTGTCCTTTTAAACAGAGCCATAATGAAATGACCTTCAGATGTCTTTATTGTGCTAGGTGTTTTCCAGTTTTACCTTGCTGAGGTTGAACTGTGATTCCACTGAGCCAAAGCATTCATTCCCCCAGAAAAATCTGTTTGGACAACTAGCTACACAAACACACACACACACACACATTGTCATAGGGGAGAAAAGGCAGCCAAAAAGTCGCATTTTTGCATCAATTTGTGTTGTTTGATTAGACTATCTTCAGAGAGCACAACCTTGTGTGTTTATAGCTTTAATTTGTATTGTGTTACTGACCAGTGAAGTGCCTAAAGAGCTGCTATAGCACCCAGAGGACACAACTGCACGGGTTAAGCGCCTTCGCTTGGTGAAAGGTGATTTGCATTTTACACATACATGTTCACCTAAAACATAGCTGTCTCTAGTGAGTCATCCATGAAGCTCCCACAGAGCGCTCACTAAGGCTTTCCCTGTTGTGTGGGTGTACTTTTCCTCTTATGACAGAACTGTGTGCCGACGTTCCATTAGGCTATCCTTCTGCCTGCTGTCCTTTTCTGGGATGTTAGCTCCTTTTACTTAGTGTTCTGTCCCGGGGAAGAGAGCAATGATGGCTGTAGACCTGTAGCATGGGTAGTTCTTCATTTTTAGACTCCAGGATCTTGCTTAACATCCTCCATGTGAGGAAAAAACCACTGAGATTTGAAGACAGGGTGGTTCCTTTAGAACTTAGTCAGAGAGCTTGTGCCAGGGTTCTGTACTGTGTTTGCTGTGTGGACTGTGCCCATTCCTTCTTTAGATGTGTATGAACTACAAGAGCAGTACTTAGAAGAATGGCAAGACACAGGTGGTGGCATAAATGCCCGTGAACTTTCCCAGCTTTAAGGCTTTCACATTTAGGATAGAGTTTATTATTGCATTTTTTTGCATGTTAGAAAACAGTTTCACTTCATAGCCTCATTCTTTCATTCAGATGAACTGAATGACAGGATGAAAATAGTTTTCATGTATTGACTAAGAGGAGGAATTCTCACAGAACCCTGAATAAGCTTTAGACCAAAAGGGAAGAAAAGGGTTAAGTAGAGTGGCCACTTACTTTTTGCTTTTGGTTTTGTGTTGCCCCAGAAATGTAAGTAGAGATTGGACTATGGAAATATTAGTGCCTTTAATAGATTTCTCTCCTAGCAAAACTTCCTTTTAGTTCAACAGACCAATCAATAATCAGGAAAATAAGTTGACTTGGAACCGTGAATAAAAACACAGCAATGTATTTATGAGCCTCAGTGAACCAGCCTCAAAAAGTTGGTTTGTGAAGGTGGCCACACCTCCATGCTACAACATGCACCCCACATTCCCAGTGCAGATGCCGCTGTAAGAGTGGGCTGTCAACCGCTTTATCTAGTGCAAACTTGAAATTTCGATGCGGTTTTCCAGGGTGGCATTTTTTTCAGAGTATTGAATTTACAATGTAGTAATTTATAGTGTAGCTTTTTATACTGAAATGTGATATTTTTCAAAGGAGCTGTCTGACTATCGGTGTAATAACAGAGCCTATGGCAAGCTGAGCTGTACCCGGGGCTCTCACTGTGCCAAACAAGCCTGTGAGTGTGTGTGAAGAACACACGCATCTGGCTGTGAAGTCCTCAACTCCTTGCTCCTTCTGTTACAATCAGTCTGATAATCGTGATGGGCATGCTGGAATAATGCCATTCAATTTGGAATCTCACGTTTGCCAGCATCTGCTAATTTTCAGTTTCTCAGATCATTGTCAGAAACATCAAGGAAATCAGGCTTGGTGGCACATACCTGTAATCCCAGTACATGGAAGATGTATAAGAGGATGCTGGTTTGGGGGTCAGCCTGGGCTATATTGTGACACCTTGTCTCAAAATTTAAAAAGAAGGTAGAAATATGTGCATAGCCTTACACATGAAAGTGGGCCTGCTCTGTAACGCACTGAACTGTGGGAATGGCCCGGGTGCCCTGGGGTTGCCTCAGACGTGGCTTCCTCGGGCAGATTCATGCTACTCTGATGGAAAATGGCTTTTGCAGGTGGACTACTTTTTAAAATAAGTACCTTGTCTCAGTCCAATGAATTGTCATCCCCCCTCTCCCGCCTTAGGGTGCTCTGTAAATCAGGGGTAGCTAAAATGGAATCCAGGGTGTAGCCTTGGGCTTTTGAACCAGTTTTAAACCCAATATAGCACAGCTGTACAGGGCTATTTTTAAAAGAGAAAACTCAAGATTTATATAAAGGCCATATAAAATTTAAACAAGAGCCCTATTTTGTTTGTGTTGTGTCTGTTAAAAATTTACATAATTCTAAGATCTAATGGATATCATCCAGGGAATTACTTCCTCTCCCACCTCAGAAAGCTTTGCTAATCCAAAATCATAGAATTTTATGCCGCACCAAAGTGAATTTAGCAGCAAACAGTTATAGATTACTACTTAAAATAGTCAGCACTTCCGGTGCAAGTACGTGCCTGGATGGTGGCAAGGCTCCTTTAAACTGTAAGACAAGGACAAAGAACAGAACAAATCCAGTGGACTGTACAGATGGTATGTGCTGCGACGGGCAGATGAGCTCAGTCTCTGAGAAACAGACCGTTTTACATGGAATAAAAGGCCTGCAAGATGATCCACATATGCAGTGCGTAAGCTTTCTTAGTGTTATCTCACCAGCAAGCAGAAAGGTCTGAAGGGGGTGCGGTTGGAACCAGTTCGAGGTGGCCATCACCCTGTGCTGGTCCCTACTGTCCCTATGCCTCTGGAGACTCAGGTGCAGACTCAATCTTTCCCCAAAGCAGGCCATAATGTAAGTGTATCCTGTCAGTCCACAGTGTGAACCCCACACATCTGCATCTTAGGTCCCTGTTAATTTGGCCACCGACAGCACCTGCTTAGGGAAGCCCAAGACCAGAAAAGGCTTGTATGAAGTGGGTCTGGAGTGGATGTGTGCACCGAGGCTGAGCCCCATGGGGAAGAAAACAGTTTCCAGGAACCGTTGGAACACAGAGCTGAGATTCTGGCTATCCTTGGCACAGGCACCTGCTGTATAGGTAGAAACTCTCACCAGCCTCCATCCACCCTTTCCTACTTTTCTCTTCCTCAAAGTGCCTCATCCACCATCCCCAAGCCTGTCTGGGTCTTAATGCCTTTCACAGTCGAACATCACCAGCCACCTGCTGAGCATCACCAGTGCGTCTTTCTGAGTATGTCTTCCCCCACCATGAAGAATATGGCTTTTCCCCAACCCCTTCCACTCTCTCCACCATCCATCTATATTTTTGCCTCGAACACCTTAGCAGATATATACAGCATCCAGTGTGTTCTGTCTACCCACTGCTGTTCATACCCACTTCCCAGCTGCCAAGATACCTTGCTCTCCTCTACCTCATCCCCACAGAGCCTATAAATTCAGAGCACCCAGTCTTCTCGTGGGCTCATTCTCTGTTCAATACTACTACTCCATATTTTAAATAAGTCATAAAACGTTTGCCTTCTGTCAAAGTAGGAACCTTTATATTTATACATGATAAAGAAATTAAACTATTTCTACCATGCAGAATTTAACATTTAGCAAGAATTCAAAGTGATTGAATTACTAGCCTAACTTGGTCTGTATTAGAGGATAAATACTGGTAATAGTCCCGGTTGCTTGAATGCAGAGTTAAAATTCTCCAACAGTCCAGAGTAACCTGTAAGTCTTCAATGGGACAGGAAATCCCTGCCAGACAAATTTGGATCACATTAGCCTATTTGCTGTGTAATGTAGATTTGGAAAAAAAAAACAAAAACAAAACCAAATGCCACAAAACTGAGTACATGAGCATTTCACTCAATTAACTAAGCTTCTAACCCCATTCTTTCCTGGATGAGATAAGAAGGAAGTGTGTTCTTGCTCCTGCCGCTGCTCTCTGTGTAAGTCCAGATAGCATCATTAAGGAGCAGAGGTAGTAATGCTGCTGCTTCTCCCACAACCAGGCTCCTGACAGGAGACAAATGTGTTCACACGTAGATGACTGTCTAACCCAAAAGTGAACTACCCTGTTTGGAGTGTAGATCAGATCTTTGATGGTCTTCAGGTGTTCCCATCCCAGTCATGAGCACCTACATGCAATGGTCGATTAATGCATTTAAGGACCCAAGAGTAAAGGAGGCACTTAGTTAGGCAATGACCTGGTGACTTAAAATGATATGTCAAGAAGTGTTCATTTAGCTTTAACTAAATTAGGACTGTACTGCCATGTAGTACAGAACTGGAAGGGTAAGGGAGCGTCTGCTTCTGAATGCATGTGGAAACCCTTGAGGTGATTCAGCCTGTGCCACAAAGTAGCCCATAGAACGAGCAGCCCATTTTATAGTTCACAGGACCCCAAACATTAAAAATTGAAATATCATAAATATAATTTTGGTATGTAAAATTTTGCTAAAGCTGTGTATTTCTTACTCCAAGTAACCTCTTAAAATGAATGTATCGTTTCTGTGGAAAGAATGTTAGAGAGAGTCTGTGGTCTTTAGTGTTAAAATGTTGCTCATGGGTATCGCTGAGTTAAATGTACACATTATATCCAGAAGAAAGCTGATTTCTTAATTGATCTTTAGAAACTTTAACTGGGCTCTCCTGAGTCTGATAGAAGAACAAAAGGAAGGATGAAGGAAATGTATCAGATGAGTGGCCAAAGATTTGCCTTTTCAAAGCAGAAGCATCTCTTTCCTGAATCTCCCTGGTTTCCCAAAATAGAAGCCCAGTTAAATGGTACCCTGTCCACCAAGAAAAGTGAGCCCTGTTTCACAGCCAGTGCAGACATTGCTTTTATATTGGATGTCTCTGCAGAGAAAGAAATTAGCATTTATTTTCTTCCTCTATCTCGTCGCATTTACTCTTTCAACCCAAAACAAGATGGATGAGAAAGCAAGGGCCAGGCCACTTGACATCTTACTCATTGACCAGGGACACAGAGTCTTGGCAAGGAAAATCAGAACCCTGTCTGGCCACCCTGGAAACATGGCCTCGCCACTTGGCTTACCTCCTTCAAACCTGAAAGAAGTGTTTCTCTCATGGAAGAACTGGATGTAGCTTGTAACTATGAAATAGAAGTTGAACTTGAAAATTCTTCTGAATCCTGATTGTGCAGGCCAGCTGCATAATGAATGTATACATGAAGACTGTGGCTGAATCACACGAGTCAGATGCCAAGTTCATGACTTTCCACATAGACATCTTCTCCTTAAGGTGTGAGTGATGTATGTAGCATGCTGTGAAGCGCCTGTTCTAGTTCATAATTCATCAGTATTAATACAGAGTTACCCTTGCGTCCCTTGGTACTTTATAGTTGATGTAATCAGAAGCTGTGATGTTTCACCTTCGTAGTCCTGTGCTTTGTTGCTGTAATTTTTTTTATGAAGCACGTGACTTTGGACTCATGTAAGGTGGATGACCATGATCTTGAAGACTGCTACACACACACACACACACACACACACACACACGCGCGTCTCTTACTCTATGGTTTTAAGTTAGGATAAGCTTCTCTCCAATAGATTGTTGATGCCGTTTGCAGTTTAGGGTCTACAAGTTCACTGTCAAGTGGCAGCATCCTCTTTATAGTTTCAGCTCTGAAAATAGCAAGCTTCTCAACAGCCACTTCACCCTTTTTCCGGCAGAACAGACCCTGCTGTGGATGCAGACGATGGTGGTAACCGATAATGCCCTCCACATGCATTGACAGTTCTGGTGATGACAGAACCCAGGAGAGCTTCTATGTATAAGTAGGCTTGATTTTTGTTCTTCTGTCGCGGACTTGACGGTTCTGACTAGAGCTGACCCAAATGGGCCAGCTTGTGTGTAATACCCTAGTGCTCTAACGCTTCTCTTCTCGTTCTGCTGTTGTTGGTTTTGTTTTTTGAGGGATGGGTAATATTATTTGAACAGATAAAGAAGGAACGGTTAGTGAAATCAAGACAAACACATCTGAAATAAAGGAACTGTGTATTAACCTGTTAACAATTCATAACTGCACTTTTTATGACATTTTGAAAATCTATTTATAGGTACAGAACAATGGGTTTTGTTAAACTGTATCACGTTTATACCTACAGAATTTATTTCATTGTTATTAGTAGGAATTTTATTGGTTCAATAAAATTGGCAAAACTGATCCCACCTTTTTTCATTACTTACAGTGAAGAATATTCTCGCCTCAATTTGCATTTGCCTAGTGACTGAAGCATGTGCTCTGGGAATTGTGAGGTTGTTGGGAATCACTGTCCTCCCCGATGGTTTCGGGTCTTGCTTTCTTATCTCTTGACCCTCAGGAGCATAAGTTGTTCAGAACATAGAACTACTGTTACCTTTAAAGAGTGGACTCAGAAAGGGTAAGCCAGAGTTACTAGTGTGTCCTATTGCCAGTGTCATTAGAATGGGGAAGCAGTGCTGAACACGGGGCCAGAACTGTTTAAAACCTAATTTTGTCATATTCTGCTATTTTTGAGGCATCAGGAGTAATCTAATCTCTATGGATTCTGATTTTCATACACAGCATGAAAGAAGTACCTATCTGAAACATTTTTTGGTGAGTCAGGTGGTACGCACTGGTTTCTTCACATATCCAGCTCAGAAGTGAACTTGAACATATAGTCAGAAAGCCCGGAGAAGGGTTTTTATTAACTGAGGTCAAGTAGGAAGGAGACGGATGGAAGGAATTGGTGCCTGTGATGCTGAGTGGTAGTGGCACACAGGAAAATGGGGAGGGGCATGTACAGGCTTTCCAATGACAGTCCTAAGAATCCATCCCAAAGACAAGATGCCTCATCGCCACGTATTCCAATTCTAGGAGGGGATCAACAGAACCAGCTCCTTGCTGGAGTCTTCTTTCCAGGGAAAGAAAGGACAGGCCAACTCAAAGTTCATACTCTCAAGCCTTTTATAAGGTTACAAACAACTTTATGCACCCCAGTTCTGCTCATCTCCCACATTTCCCCATATCTGTCTCCCACCCTTGCAGTGTTCCCCCCTAAAACAAAACTAAAACAAAACAAACAAAAAACATTCTTCACTTCTGTCTTTCTGACTCTTTTAGTGAGGGGGGGAGGGGGCTGCAGTGTGTTACACTTTTCTCCAATCAGCCTCACTAAGTCACTGATCTGGTTCAAGGCCTCTAGTTTCTGGTACCCCGTTATCACTGGACCCCATCCTTCAGCCACTCCAAGTCACAGAGATCCTGCTTGTATTGTTCCACAGGACCGGTCCCTTCACAAGCTCCAGCAGGTCCTAGACGGGGTAGATGTTAAGAGTGGGCCAATCCAAGGCCCTGGATGTGAGTCTGGGTGGTTCAGGGAACTGGGGCCCCACCTCAGGGAGGGGTTGAGCCAGGTGAGGGGTGGAGCCTGCTCTCCCATGAGGGTCAGGGCAGTTTTCTTGCTGCATGTCCAAGGGTGGGACCGGCTCAGCATGGCCCTCTGATTTCATCATAAATGGTTCCTAAGGACCCTGAGGTAACACGGGCCACAGATATCAACACAGACCCCCAGCAACGACAGAACCACAGACACAGACATGGCCCTCAGCAACTTGGCCCAGGTGACACCATGGCTGTGGGTGGCAGCACAGATACCAAGATCAGCATGGCTCTGGTGGTAGCACAGCCCTTGAACACAAACAAGGCCACAGATTGTGGCCCATACCCTGGGCTTCCATGTGCCTTTTGGTGGCAACATGGTCCTCAGACTTCAAAAGAGATCCCAGCTACAGTAGGACCATGGGTGCAGACATAGTCCTCCACAACAGCTTTTGTAAAAAGGGTGGTGGGCCGCATCCCTCTGCAGGGCTCCTGGCTAGCTTTACCTGAAATAATTACACAGAAACTGTATTCATTTAAACATTGCCTAGCCCATTATATCTAGCCTCCTTTGGCTAACTCTCACATCTTGCTTTAACCTATATCTAGTCATCTGTATCGCCACTTGATTGTGGCTTACTGGCATGAGTCTAACCAGCATCTGTCTCAGAGAGAAGAGCCATAGTGCCCACCTGACTCTGCTTTCTTTCTCCCAGCATTCTGTTCTGTCTACTCCACCTATCTAAGCTGTTGTCCTATCAAAAGGCCAAGGCAGTCTCTTTATTTAACCAATAAAAGCAACACATAGAAAGAAGTCCCTCCTACACCAAACAGCCAGGTCTGAATGTCACCATTTCTCCAGGTAGCCATGTAGGCCAGTCAAATAGGCATGGCCCAGTGGCAGTGTGGCCCTCAGACACAAACGTGGCTCCAGGTGGCATCCCAGACCTCTGGCATCCTCATGGCCTTCAATGGTAACAGGAACCACAGACATGAACAAAGACCCTGGCTGCAATAGGACCACTGGACCCAGACACTTTCTGACATTTTTATACTGAAGTTCACCACCTTCATTCAGCCAGGCTTCTTGATCAGAGGCATAAATGACTATTGCTATATGCTATCTATATGACATTTTACTTAGATGTAAAAGGATAATATATACTCCAAACACATAACTTTCTTCTCTGGCTAACTTGATATTTTTAATTAATTTTTTTTCTAGTCCTAAATGGGACATATGATTTAATAGGTGGTCCCTAAGAAGTGAGATTCATTGATCCATTTTCATCTAGGGATATGGATTGCAAGACTCAGGAAAGTCTTAAACTTCTGTATTTTGCTGGTGGGGACTTTTCTTCTATATTTTAAAGTTATAAATCAAGTTATAGCTTCTAATGTAAGGTTCTCTTTCTGTGGGGAGAAAGCCCATCTCAGACTATGTCTCTTTTCCCAGAATTTCTCACATTTGATTTGGCTCATAGACACCACTTATATTGATATCTTGGAATCTGAGATGACTTTAAGACACTTGGGCAAAGTTATCAAGTAGACTAGTGTATGGGGCTTAGGGAAACAGTAAGAGATGCATGATGGTTGAGGGGCTCCTGAGAGTTATGGGCCAGGGCAAGTGGAAAGAACCAGGGAATGGAAGCAATGATGCAGGGAAAAGGGCTGCTTACCATACCTGACCTCATGCTGCTTGCAACAGGGAATGGAGCACATGTGGTCCTCTCATCGAACTTATGGTGGAGGGAACAGAAATGGAGGAGAAAAAGCAATAAGGCCACAAATCTACCTAACTACATGTTGGAGCAAAGGAAAAGACAAAAAATAAGAGTAAATGTTAAGGCATACCAGGACTATAGGTAGTGCTATAGGTTCTGTGGTAGTACCTCAACTGTGCTATAGGTTCTGTGGTAGTGTCTCAACTCTGCTATAGGTTCTGTGTAGTGTCTCAGCTCTGGTATAGGTTCTG